TATATATATATATATATATTTAAATACCCTTAAATTTATTTTATTTCAGCTAGTTGCAAAGGCAACATTTTTGATTTTCATTTAGTTTAACTTGATACTAAAATTGTACTAAAATAACGAAAAATGAAATAAAAATTAATAAAAAACTATATAGACATATTTTACATATTTTAAAACAAAAATGAATAAAACTGACAAAAACAACAAAATTACTCAAATTAAAATGGAAACAGAAAATATATAAAAAAACATTCAAAATATTAATAAAAACTATATGAATATTTCAGGGATACTAAAATAACACATTTGTTTTGATACTAAAATTAACACAGATTTGTATTTCTATGACTATTAGGAATATTTTGGGCTATTTTAGTCGATTATCATTTAACGTGTTTGCTGGCTCGTGTGGGAAAGTCGACACCTCGTCCATTAACCCACGTTCATTTCTGTGTCTCATTCATAAACACGACATGACCTCTCTGCTTCTGTTCCACTCTGTGTGACAGCTTTACCCACGTGTGCAGCTCCAGGGACTGTTTCCATGAAAACTGGTGACATGTCACATGCATCAGTGACCTTGTAAGACGTAGAAGGTCTAAGATGTTTCATATTCTAGATTCAATTGATTTTGTTTTGATTTTAAAACTGAGTTTGTTTGTAAGATAATGTCTTCGATTGAATATAACTATACTGTGGGACATCAACGGGCAATGAAAAGAGGTTTTCTGTTACTCATTTGGCACATTATTGTTCTCCAGGTGGCACAACAGCTGTCCAAGTTGAAAATTTGCTTATTTAATTATCTGTGTGTAGACACACAAAGACAGACCGGAAAAACACTTCTGACCACAGTTTGTCCTATAACTTGAATAATGTACATCACAATCACGTAATAAAGAACATCAATTGCATTTCTAAAATACATGCCTAAACACAGAAGCAGCACTATTAACAAGATTTACTCTCCAATTTTCTAGTTCTTTTGCTCCATTCAAATACCCTACAGTAGAGGCTCTTGGGATTTTGTGTGTTGCCAGGCAACCGCCGCTGCAGCTGCACAGCCGGAGAGCAAATGCTACAGTGCTGTTAGTGCTGACCTCCCACTGTCATCTGCTGTCCTGACTGCTTTTGGTTAAGCTAATTGAGCTTATGTGTGTAACTGTGTGTGTATGTTTAACACAGCTGTAGCTGCGTAATTCAGAAGCACTTGCGTGCCGGTCATGAGAAAATTCATGATAAATTATTGGGCAAGGAATACAAGGAATCATGCTGAGAGGTCCTTTGTATAAGTAGAAATTATAAATACTGCCCTGCCTTTGGCTAACAGCAGCAAGTAGTAAATCACATGTTGTCAGTGTGTATTTGGCTGCTCAAACGTGCATAAATTATGTAGTTTTCCAGCAATATGTAGGTTGCTAAGGAAGTTGCTGGAATTAT